AACTGCATTTTTCTTACAAAATGCTGGTAAATATACTATAATATCAATGAAAACACTAACAATTTATAAAGCCTTTTCATATTTTCACACGTTTACTACGAACCAAGACAAAACACGTCTTAAGGCCGGCGCACACTAGAGCTATGTGCTTAGCAAAAAGTCATTCGTGGCCATCGGCGTAAGCCAGTTGCTCTCGTGTGCGGGCGACTTTTCCGGCGACTTTTGGCACGAATGACGAAAGTCACTGGAAAAGTCGCCCGCACACGAGAGCAACTGGCTTACGCTAATGGCCAGGAATGACTTTTTGCTAAGCACATAGCTCTAGTGTGCGCCGGCCTTTAGCAATACCATATATATCTACATCACTAGCTACATGCCTATTACTCAAGTATAATGTTACCGGTAGTGTTGCCATAACTTGTCAACAAAGGTCAGAGGTCTCTATACTACAACACTATACTCAGTCTATAGGCTTATTCGCACTATAATATTTACAAGGGATAACACATGAAGACAACAGCTCTTAATAATTAACGAATTCATAGAAGCGATCAATCTACTTACATAAAATTCTTGTCCTTTTATTAACTTTCGCTGGCCTTCTGATCTTTGCTACACAATTAAACTTTCATATACATACATTTGCAAGCATACAGTGGCAGTTTACTACGCACTTCTGGACGACATTTGGGATCAATAATAATACCCTTGTGTTTCTTTGTGCTTCGCTCGTCAACTGGGTGGATACCTGAGAAACCCCAAAGTGAGGATTACTTTCGATTTTACTGATTTATTAATGAATCATATATTATTCATGTATATACATGGGCTGAATGAAGAGCAAAGCTTGGTAGTTGGTACAATTGTATTGCCCTAATTTGAATTTTAAATTCCTAGGTCGATAAAAATGATTGATTTTTCTGCACAAGGCTAGTTTATTCGCGCGACACGAAGCGATTGGTCTGCAAAAAATCAGTCGCCGGCTCGCCGCAAAAAAATTCAATACGAAGACAACATCTATGATAAACAATGTAGATCTCCAATTACACTTTCATTATTTGAATGCAAATTGGATTGCAAAGTGCACGAGGTGTGAATAAGATCAAAATTTAAGAAGGGTTTATATTCAGGTGAAATGCAACATAATTTTAAAAAGTAAGGTGAAAGATTCACTTAGATTCACTTCAATCTCACCCAGCAGAACTGATTCAGGTCAGACTTAAAATCGTAGCTACGTCACTACATTAAGGAAAATGAATATAATGAAGTGGAAGCTTCAACAACATAAAAACAGTGTACTTTAATATCCCAATTGCTAATAGTTTGAAAAGCTCTAAATTTCCATTTTTAATGCAACCGTTTGTCAAAATACAGCCTTGCTTGACTTCCTGACTTTTATCCATTATTTTATAGTTTTGGCTTTCTGGCCTTTCTTAGATTCTCTATGCCTAGAGATATTTAGTTTTGTTTGCATAATAACTTTCTGCCATTTTGTTTTGTCCATTACCAGAAATTTGTGACATGATAATTTGCATGTATACTAATTTGCATTTAACTTTCAGCATAATGGCCTTCAACATTTACTATAAAATATGTATAGTAAATATACAAAACTTAAAAATGCCGTTGACCTAGACCTTGCCTACTGTTTGCCGACCTCTAGATCGGTCGAGCAGCTGTTTAGAAACGTTTTGGTGGCCGAATTTTTTGCTTGGGCATTTCTGTAATCTGCCAAATTTAAAAATATATTGCTCAAAGTTTTGTCCGTGTTCTGTCAACGAACTTATAAAATCGCTCACATTGATTCGAATATTTCGATTCAGGTAGTTGATGAATTGACGTTTAATATACCAAAAAAGTTGTTAAAGATATTGTCTTTCGTATTTGTGTATAAACTTTTCTGTACGGCTCGGATTTTCACTGCAATCACTTTAAAAAATATTATCAGTCTTATCAGGAACTTGAACAATACGAAGGCTATATACACATTTGTTCACAATCAGTTGGCCGAACGTAGAAATACCTAAGGTAAGTAATTCGATCATTAAAACGTTGGGAAACGGCTGTTCTATTGACCCAGAGGTCGGCAAACAGTGGGCAAGGTCTAGGGCAACGACATTTTAGGGTTTTGTATATTTACTATATGTATTTAATAGTAAAAGTTGAAGGCCATTATGCTGAAAGTTAAATGCAAATTAGTATAAATGCAAATTATCATGTCGCAAATTTCTGGTAATGCATGTAATAATTAATCTCATTATCTCAACATCGTGAACCATTTTGTGTGAAACTGGATGTGTTTGTTCTCACTGACTTGTGGGGACAAGAATCAGAATACACACCGACTTGTGGGGACACCTATACTTGTGGGGACACTTTTGGTGTCCCCGCAAGTTTAAGAGTCTAGAAAGAGATGAAAGGCATCTGATAAGTTCATTTTTAAACGTTTTGAACGTAGGGGTAGTGTTGAAATAAGGGAATTCACATTAAAAAGCATTTTAAAGAAATTTTCGTGAATTTTTTCATGCTGTCCTCACAAGTTGGTTGGATGCGTGTGTAAAACTGTCCCCACAAGTGCGTGTAAAATCAATAGTAATTTAAATCAACACACCTGTGTTCTGAATGTCTAATTTGACAAACAATTGACCAAAAAGATAAATGCAGCAAATCTTACTATTTTTTCTTCTCAATATATTGGTGTCCCATAAGTATTTACACACCGTCCCCACAAGTATTGTACACACAAACTGTCCCACAAGTATTGCATACATGGAATGTCCCCACAAGTATTTACACACATGGAATGTCCCCACAAGTATTGCACACATGGAATGTCCCCACAAGTATTGCACACATGGAATGTCCCCACAAGTATTGCACACATGGAATGTCCCCACAAGTATTGCACACATGGAATGTCCCCACAAGTATTGCACACATGGAATGTCCCCACAAGTATTTACACACATGGAATGTCCCCACAAGTATTTACACTCATGAAATGTCCCCACAAGTATTGCACACATGGAATGTCCCCACAAGTATTTCAGATATATAGATGACACGTGATACATGTATTTAATGGTGCATGAACAATAACAAACGTTTAAAAATTATAGAAATCCTCCAAAACTCCAGAATGGTATTCGAGAATATATCTTAGCCTATCCATACACGAATAGCACGCAATTCATGTACAAGATTTGGAGTGTTGCTTATCGATAACGGTGGAATCATGCACTATGTTTTCAAGTTCAAAGATATAACAGGTACTGGCAGAATCACCATAATACTTTCATGAACGGCATAAACAATAGCTTTAATAAATCAGCATTAGTGGCACATTTCAATGCTATAAATCCATTTAAAATCACTTGCAAAAGTCAGTGGAAAACAGGTTCAAATTCTTATACTATAAGTTGGAAACACAACTACTTAAACAAAATACAGGTCATTGAAACAAATGTATGGGCAAAGGACAAAGTTGCCAAGGCAACAAAATATTTAAAATTTGTACTGTATCAGCGGACAATTTCGTTTTTCTGTCCAACCTAAACATGGAGCTTGTTATGAAGAAATTCACATGGAGGTATTCAAACAAATAACCGTTGGAAAGGCAAGGAGTTCTAGGAGACTTGGTTCGTTGTAATGTAAACAAAGAGAATGTGCAAAAGCTTCTGCGAAATCGAGGTTCTTGATACGAAATCACACATGCTGTGCCTTTACTGGGAAAGAAGAAACAGTTAAAGGCTAGGCTGGATGCAACGTCAATTTTAGGAAGGTGTTCAAAACTTGAAATTCTACTGGAGGAAGGTTCAACAATTTTCAACTCAGACCAGGAGATATCAGAAAATGATTTTAGGATCATCATGGAATAAGACACAGTAGGCATAAGCATATATCATGTCAACACACATCAGCATGTCTAAATGTTTGGGCACCCATCACGAAACGAGAGATGATGACAGTGATCAACAGCATGTCTGATATCATTGGATAATCGCCTCAAATGATAGTAATTGTAAGGGTGAAGTTCAGAAGGGTTCAGAAACCTTTAAATTTCACCTTCTGGCTCCGGGTATTGTACAAACGTGTCGTCTTTGGATGAAAGATTTAGAATAAGAAGTTTTATCACTTTGAGAACTATGGCTTCTCAGATGTGAGCAAAATAGCTGTATGTGCCATAGTGGAGAGTATTAACTATAGACCAACGCTGATTCATCATTCCTTAAGCCAAAATCAAGAATTGCCCTTAGACACATATTCCAAGATTGAAGTCAATTTCAGCTTTGAGCCAAATCATTGAAGAGTAACATGTTGCTCATGGTTTTCTCATAGGATTCCAGATCATGGAGTTTCCTGAAAGCAAATGTGCAATTCTTCAGCACAGTCTATTTTCAAAAAAACAAAAGGCGGAGCTAGGAAGGCGATTATTGAAAAGAGTCAATGGCGGTTTATACGAGCCAATTCTTTTTCTCACTATTGAGAATGTAAGTTAGCAAGAACGATAAAAAGAAGTCAGTTGAAAGAAACTGGAAGAACGACCAGCAGAAATGCACCCAGTCTGAAGAAACCTCCATAGACCAAATGGTGCATTGAGTGTACTACATTAGTAGTCAAACAGCAAACTAGACAGCAAAAAGTAATTTTGCAGAGCAATGCTGTGAAGTGATCGACTCCTATTTCTCATCAATCTCATTGTTCAAAGACAACGTAAGCCCGCACGTTTTAGTCTGTTGAATCTAATAGTTGCAATCATGAGTAGCATGGCCGCCGATCTTGGTGGCATGTGCAGTAGTAAATTCAAACGCTCACCAACGTTACGACAGACGAATTCCAGCCGAGGAACTATGTATGAAATTGTTGTTATATGTTGTCTTTCTTAATATTATCATTCTTATCATTAGCACCCAACTTGTTCATTTTTCTAACTGATGAATATCTTTCTAGCAGCACATTAATACATGGACGTTAGATCCTCCACGAAGATCCTCGGAACAATAATGTTAAAGATTGAAGCACAAGCTACCATCAAAGGTTGTCATCACCAGCTGTTAATTATTGGTTGACAGTATTTCCTCTCATTAACCCCTCCTGTAAATCACCTAAGGTTGAAAGGTCAGTCCATATAAATATATCATCTAACAAAGCCATAAACATTCGACTACGAATCTTTCCACTGCAAAATCACACACTCATCGATAATTTATAAGAAAAACCGTATCGTTGTTTGGACATGTGATCTTAATTAGCATAAAATATCATCAAGTTTAAACTCAAATTTCAATCTAAGGGATCTATCTCGTGTTTCCCAAATCTATACACAACATGCACATAGTATAAAACTTTCATCATAATTTTGTGCTTCATACCTGTTCCCACTTGCTAAACTCTGTTCTTTGAAAGGCTCGTATCGATTTCCATTATAAACCTGAATGATACAGAAACAAAATGAACCTATAGAGCACGAAATCGGAATGCAGACGGACCTAGATTGTCCAAAATGCGAATGGAGCGCGGTTTTCTGTCAAACTAACTGCTTTGCAATCTTGTAGTTGAGCGATGATAGAAAGTTTAGGAAACTGCAAAAAGCAGTCTAAAATAGCTATATGAATAGCCTCGGTGAAAAAATCTTTTTTTATACCAGATCACTGATATAGCTAATAGAACTTTTTCCTGTGGTAAGTTAGCAATTTCATCTTGAGGAAAAAATCATAACTACAATAATTAATAATTTACTGGCAAAAAGCGACCTTTCAACTGACCGCTATAAAAAAGTTGCCAAATTTATAGTAACGAATACTGGTCACGTTATCTACCCTCTTAAACACTTCTTGGGAGTGGCAAAATACACACTTAACTTAATGGTGTGGATAATTTTGTAAAGCAGATGTAGTACATATGGTCTATATCGTTTAAGATATGTTAAATACTAATTGTTCTAATTAGTCATTGTAATATATTCGTGATAGTCTGTATAATTTATAGCACATGCACATTTAAATAAAGTGATTATTTAAACCACCCACGACTGAGTGTATTATAAGACAGACTATCGGTTTTTATAACTACGAATGACTCAAAACTTATCTATATATTCCCTAAATAAGTTATCAGTTCCGTATTACAATATCTAACGCAAGATGTTGATAGGCAGAGTAGTGTTGCTAGAAATACTTCCACGTTTGACAATCTAAGGGATCTATCTCGTGTTTCCCAAATCTATACACAACGTGCACATAGTATAAAACTTTCATCATAATTTTGTGCTTCATACCTGTTCCCGCTAAACTCTGTTCTTTGAAAGGCTCGTATCGATTTCCATTAAAAACCTGAATGATACAGAAACAAAATGAACCTATAGAGCACGAAATCGGATTGCAGACGGACCTAGATTGTCCAAAATGCGAATGGAGCGCGGTTTTCGGTCAAACTACCTGCTTTGCAATCTTGTTAGTGCGATGATAGAAAGTTTAGTAAACTGCAAAAAGCAGTCTAAATAGCTATATGATAAATAGCCTCGGTGAAAAATCTTTTTTTTACCAGATCACTGATATAGCTAATAGAACTTTTTTCCTGTGGTAAGTTAGCAATTTCATCTTGAGGAAAAAATCATAACTACAATAATTAATAATTTACTGGCAAAAAGCGACCTTTCAACTGACCGCTATAGAAAAGTTGCCAAATTTATAGTAACGAGTACTGGTCACGTTATCTACCCTCTTAAACACTTCTTGGGAGTGGCAAAATACACTTAACTTAATGGTGTGGATAATTTTGTAAAGGAGATGTAGTACATATGGTCTATCGTTTAAGATATGTTAAATACTAATTGTTCTAATTAGTCATTGTAATATATTCGTGATAGTCTGTATAATTTATATAGCACATGCACATTTAAATAAAGTGATTATTTAAACCACCCACGACTGAGTGTATTATAAGACAGACTATCGGTTTTTATAACAACTACGAATGACTCAAAACTTATCTATATATTCCCTAAATAAGTTATCAGTTCCGTATTACAATATCTAACGCAAGATGTTGATAGGCAGAGTAGTGTTGCTAGAAATACTTCCACGTTTGACAATCTAAGGGATCTATCTCGTGTTTCCCAAATCTATACACAACGTGCACATAGTATAAAACTTTCATCATAATTTTGTGCTTCATACCTGTTCCCACTTGCTAAACTCTGTTCTTTGAAAGGCTCGTATCGATTTCCATTAAAAACCTGAATGATACAGAAACAAAATGAACCTATAGAGCACGAAATCGGATTGCAGACGGACCTAGATTGTCCAAAATGCGAATGGAGCGCGGTTTTCGGTCAAACTACCTGCTTTGCAATCTTGTTAGTGCGATGATAGAAAGTTTAGTAAACTGCAAAAAGCAGTCTAAAATAGCTATATGATAAATAGCCTCGGTGAAAAAATCTTTTTTTTATACCAGATCACTGATATAATTAATAGAACTTTTTTCCTGTGGTAAGTTAGCAATTTCATCTTGAGGAAAAAATCATAACTACAATAATTAATAATTTACTGGCAAAAAGCGACCTTTCAACTGACCGCTATAAAAAAGTTGCCAAATTTATAGTAACGAATACTGGTCACGTTATCTACCCTCTTAAACACTTCTTGGGAGTGGCAAAATACACACTTAACTTAATGGTGTGGATAATTTTGTAAAGCAGATGTAGTACATATGGTCAATATCGTTTAAGATATGTTAAATACTAATTGTTCTAATTAGTCATTGTAATATATTCGTGATAGTCTGTATAATTTATATAGCACATGCACATTTAAATAAAGTGATTATTTTAAACCACCCACGACTGAGTGTATTATAAGCTAAGTTAAGAGAGACTATCGGTTTTTATAACCACTACGAATGACTCAAAACTTATCTATATATTCCCTAAATAAGTTATCAGTTCCGTATTACAATATCTAACGCAAGATGTTGATAGGCAGAGTAGTGTTGCTAGAATACTTTCACGTTTGACAATCTAAGGGATCTATCTCGTGTTTCCCAAATCTATACACAACATGCACATAGTATAAAACTTTCATCATAATTTTGTGCTTCATACCTGTTCCCACTTGCTAAACTCTGTTCTTTGAAAGGCTCGTATCGATTTCCATTAAAAACCTGAATGATACAGAAACAAAATGAACCTATAGAGCACGAAATCGGAATGCAGACGGACCTAGATTGTCCAAAATGCGAATGGAGCGCGGTTTTCGGTCAAACTAACTGCTTTGCAATCTTGTTAGTGCGATGATAGAAAGTTTAGGAAACTGCAAACAGCAGTCTAAAATAGCTATATGATAAATAGCCTCGGTGAAAAAATCTTTTTTTTATACCAGATCACTGATATAGCTAATAGAACTTTTTTCCTGTGGTAAGTTAGCAATTTCATCTTGAGGAAAAAATCATAACTACAATAATTAATAATGTACTGGCAAACCGACCGTTCAACTGACCGCTATAGAAAAGTTGCCAAATTTATAGTAACGAGTACTGGTCACGTTATCTACCCTCTTAAACACTTCTTGGGAGTGGCAAAATACACACTTAACTTAATGGTGTGGATAATTTTGTAAAGCAGATGTAGTACATATGGTCTATATCGTTTAAGATATGTTAAATACTAATTGTTCTAATTAGTCATTGTAATATATTCGTGATAGTCTGTATAATTTATATAGCACATGCACATTTAAATAAAGTGATTATTTAAACCACCCACGACTGAGTGTATTATAAGACAGACTATCGGTTTTTATAACTACGAATGACTCAAAACTTATCTATATATTCCCTAAATAAGTTATCAGTTCCGTATTACAATATCTAACGCAAGATGTTGATAGGCAGAGTAGTGTTGCTAGAAATACTTCCACGTTTGACAATCTAAGGGATCTATCTCGTGTTTCCCAAATCTATACACAACATGCACATAGTATAAAACTTTCATCATAATTTTGTGCTTCATACCTGTTCCCACTTGCTAAACTCTGTTCTTTGAAAGGCTCGTATCGATTTCCATTAAAAACCTGAATGATACAGAAACAAAATGAACCTATAGAGCACGAAATCGGATGCAGACGGACCTAGATTGTCCAAAATGCGAATGGAGCGCGGTTTTCGGTCAAACTACCTGCTTTGCAATCTTGTTAGTGCGATGATAGAAAGTTTAGGAAACTGCAAACAGCAGTCTAAAATAGCTATATGATAAATAGCCTCGGTGAAAAAATCTTTTTTTATACCAGATCACTGATATAGCTAATAGAACTTTTTTCCTGTGGTAAGTTAGCAATTTCATCTTGAGGAAAAAATCATAACTACAATAATTAATAATGTACTGGCAAAAGCGACCTTCAACTGACCGCTATAGAAAAGTTGCCAAATTTATAGTAACGAGTACTGGTCACGTTATCTACCCTCTTAAACACTTCTTGGGAGTGGCAAAATACACACTTAACTTAATGGTGTGGATAATTTTGTAAAGCAGATGTAGTACATATGGTCATATCGTTTAAGATATGTTAAATACTAATTGTTCTAATTAGTCATTGTAATATATTCGTGATAGTCTGTATAATTTATATAGCACATGCACATTTAAATAAAGTGATTATTTTAAACCACCCACGACTGAGTGTATTATAAGAAGACTATCGGTTTTTATAACAACTACGAATGACTCAAAACTTATCTATATATTCCCTAAATAAGTTATCAGTTCCGTATTACAATATCTAACGCAAGATGTTGATAGGCAGAGTAGTGTTGCTAGAAATACTTCCACGTTTGACAATCTAAGGGATCTATCTCGTGTTTCCCAAATCTATACACAACATGCACATAGTATAAAACTTTCATCATAATTTTGTGCTTCATACCTGTTCCCACTTGCTAAACTCTGTTCTTTGAAAGGCTCGTATCGATTTCCATTAAAACCTGAATGATACAGAAACAAAATGAACCTATAGAGCACGAAATCGGAATGCAGACGGACCTAGATTGTCCAAAATGCGAATGGAGCGCGGTTTTCGGTCAAACTAACTGCTTTGCAATCTTGTTAGTGCGATGATAGAAAGTTTAGGAAACTGCAAACAGCAGTCTAAAATAGCTATATGATAAATAGCCTCGGTGAAAAAATCTTTTTTATACCAGATCACTGATATAGCTAATAGAACTTTTTTCCTGTGGTAAGTTAGCAATTTCATCTTGAGGAAAAATCATAACTACAATAATTAATAATGTACTGGCAAACACGACCGTTCAACTGACCGCTATAGAAAAGTTGCCAAATTTATAGTAACGAGTACTGGTCACGTTATCTACCCTCTTAAACACTTCTTGGGAGTGGCAAAATACACACTTAACTTAATGGTGTGGATAATTTTGTAAAGCAGATGTAGTACATATGGTCATATCGTTTAAGATATGTTAAATACTAATTGTTCTAATTAGTCATTGTAATATATTCGTGATAGTCTGTATAATTTATATAGCACATGCACATTTAAATAAAGTGATTATTTAAACCACCCACGACTGAGTGTATTATAAGACAGACTATCGGTTTTTATAACAACTACGAATGACTCAAAACTTATCTATATATTCCCTAAATAAGTTATCAGTTCCGTATTACAATATCTAACGCAAGATGTTGATAGGCAGAGTAGTGTTGCTAGAAATACTTCCACGTTTGACAATCTAAGGGATCTATCTCGTGTTTCCCAAATCTATACACAACATGCACATAGTATAAAACTTTCATCATAATTTTGTGCTTCATACCTGTTCCCACTTGCTAAACTCTGTTCTTTGAAAGGCTCGTATCGATTTCCATTAAAAACCTGAATGATACAGAAACAAAATGAACCTATAGAGCACGAAATCGGAATGCAGACGGACCTAGATTGTCCAAAATGCGAATGGAGCGCGGTTTTCGGTCAAACTAACTGCTTTGCAATCTTGTTAGTGCGATGATAGAAAGTTTAGGAAACTGCAAACAGCAGTCTAAAATAGCTATATGATAAATAGCCTCGGTGAAAAAATCTTTTTTTTATACCAGATCACTGATATAGCTAATAGAACTTTTTTCCTGTGGTAAGTTAGCAATTTCATCTTGAGGAAAAAATCATAACTACAATAATTAATAATGTACTGGCAAACAGACCGTTCAACTGACCGCTATAGAAAAGTTGCCAAATTTATAGTAACGAGTACTGGTCACGTTATCTACCCTCTTAAACACTTCTTGGGAGTGGCAAAATACACACTTAACTTAATGGTGTGGATAATTTTGTAAAGCAGATGTAGTACATATGGTCTATATCGTTTAAGATATGTTAAATACTAATTGTTCTAATTAGTCATTGTAATATATTCGTGATAGTCTGTATAATTTATATAGCACATGCACATTTAAATAAAGTGATTATTTAAACCACCCACGACTGAGTGTATTATAAGACAGACTATCGGTTTTTATAACTACGAATGACTCAAAACTTATCTATATATTCCCTAAATAAGTTATCAGTTCCGTATTACAATATCTAACGCAAGATGTTGATAGGCAGAGTAGTGTTGCTAGAAATACTTCCACGTTTGACAATCTAAGGGATCTATCTCGTGTTTCCCAAATCTATACACAACATGCACATAGTATAAAACTTTCATCATAATTTTGTGCTTCATACCTGTTCCCACTTGCTAAACTCTGTTCTTTGAAAGGCTCGTATCGATTTCCATTAAAAACCTGAATGATACAGAAACAAAATGAACCTATAGAGCACGAAATCGGAATGCAGACGGACCTAGATTGTCCAAAATGCGAATGGAGCGCGGTTTTCGGTCAAACTACTGCTTTGCAATCTTGTTAGTGCGATGATAGAAAGTTTAGGAAACTGCAAACAGCAGTCTAAAATAGCTATATGATAAATAGCCTCGGTGAAAAAATCTTTTTTTATACCAGATCACTGATATAGCTAATAGAACTTTTTTCCTGTGGTAAGTTAGCAATTTCATCTTGAGGAAAAAATCATAACTACAATAATTAATAATGTACTGGCAAAACGACCGTTCAACTGACCGCTATAGAAAAGTTGCCAAATTTATAGTAACGAGTACTGGTCACGTTATCTACCCTCTTAAACACTTCTTGGGAGTGGCAAAATACACACTTAACTTAATGGTGTGGATAATTTTGTAAAGCAGATGTAGTACATATGGTCAATATCGTTTAAGATATGTTAAATACTAATTGTTCTAATTAGTCATTGTAATATATTCCTGATAGTCTGTATAATTTATATAGCACATGCACATTTAAATAAAGTGATTATTTAAACCACCCACGACTGAGTGTATTATAAGAAAGACTATCGGTTTTTATAACATACGAATGACTCAAAACTTATCTATATATTCCCTAAATAAGTTATCAGTTCCGTATTACAATATCTAACGCAAGATGTTGATAGGCAGAGTAGTGTTGCTAGAAATACTTCCACGTTTGACAATCTAAGGGATCTATCTCGTGTTTCCCAAATCTATACACAACATGCACATAGTATAAAACTTTCATCATAATTTTGTGCTCAATACCTGTTCCCACTTGCTAAACTCTGTTCTTTGAAAGGCTCGTATCGATTTCCATTAAAAACCTGAATGATACAGAAACAAAATGAACCTATAGAGCACGAAATCGGAATGCAGACGGACCTAGATTGTCCAAAATGCGAATGGAGCGCGGTTTTCGGTCAAACTAACTGCTTTGCAATCTTGTTAGTGCGATGATAGAAAGTTTAGGAAACTGCAAACAGCAGTCTAAAATAGCTATATGATAAATAGCCTCGGTGAAAAAATCTTTTTTTATACCAGATCACTGATATAGCTAATAGAACTTTTTTCCTGTGGTAAGTTAGCAATTTCATCTTGAGGAAAAAATCATAACTACAATAATTAATAATGTACTGGCAAACAACGACCGTTCAACTGACCGCTATAGAAAAGTTGCCAAATTTATAGTTTCGAGTACTGGTCACGTCATCTACCCTCTTAAACACTTCTTGGGAGTGGCAAAATACACACTTAACTTAATGGTGTGGATAATTTTGTAAAGGAGATGTAGTACATATGGTCAATATCGTTTAAGATATGTTAAGTACTAATTGTTCTAATTAGTCATTGTAATATATTCGTGATAGTCTGTATAATTTATATAGCACATGCACATTTAAATAAAGTGATTATTTTAAACCACCCACGACTGAGTGTATTATAAGCTAAGTAAAGAGAGACTATCGGTTTTTATAACAACGAATGACTCAAAACTTATCTATATATTCCCTAAATAAGTTATCAGTTCCGTATTACAATATCTAACGCAAGATGTTCATAGGCAGAGTAGTGTTGCTAGAAATACTTCCACGTTTGACAATCTAAGGGATCTATTTCGTGTTTCCCAAATCTATACACAACATGCACATAGTATAAAACTTTCATCATAATTTTGTGCTTCATACCTGTTCCCACTTGCTAAACTCTGTTCTTTGAAAGGCTCGTATCGATTTCCATTAAAAACCTGAATGATACAGAAACAAAATGAACCTATAGAGCACGAAATCGGAATGCAGACGGACCTACAATCTTATGCAAAATTAACGAGACACTACATACTCCCGCACCCTGTTTCAATGTTGGGTAGTGATGGTTTTCACTATTCGAGGTGTTAGTCTTCATTAACTGTTAAAATACAACATTGAGATGGGGGGAAGGGGGATCAACATTGAAAACTCATGGTGGCACATATTATATTGCATGGGATTGTAGATTGTCTAAAATGCGAATGGAGCGCGGTTTTCGGTCAAACTAACTGCTTTGCAATCTTGTTAGTGCGATGATAGAAAGTTTAGGAAACCGCAAACAGCAGTCTAAAATAGCTATATGATAAATAGCCTCGGTGAAAAAATCTTTTTTTATACCAGATCACTGATATAGCTAATAGAACTTTTTTCCTGTGGTAAGTTAGCAATTTCATCTTGAGGAAAAAATCATAACTACAATAATTAATAATGTACTGGCAAAAAGCGACCGTTCAACTGACCGCTATAGAAAAGTTGCCAAATGTATAGTAACGAGTACTGGTCACGTTATCCACCCTCTTAACTGCGAATTGCTCCAGATTCCCTGTTCTAGACTGAAGACATTTGGGGATAGATCATTTTGTGTCGCGGGACCAGGATTGTGGAACGAATCACCCATTAATCTTTGGATGTGCAAATCAATTACTGTTTTTAAAAAAAATCTTATAACATATCTTTTTAACTTATTTTTGAATAATGTATGATGTTGGTCTTAACATTTATTTTATTAGGTTTGTCAATGATTTAGATATTTTAATAGTTTTATTATTAGATTTTACTGTAAAGCGCCTAGAACTGAACACAATTTGGTTGTGCGCTATAGAAATACTTTTATTATTATTATTATTATTATTATTATTATTATTATTATTATTATTATTATTATTATTATTTAATTATTATTATATTATTATTATTATTATTATTATTATTATTATTATATTATTTTTATTTTATTATTATTATTTATTATTATTATTATTATTATTATTATTATTATTATTATTATTATTATTATTATCTTAAACACTTCTTGGGAGTGGCAAAATACACACTTAACTTAATGGTGTGGATAACTTTGTAAAGGAGATGTAGTACATATGGTCAATATCGTTTAAGATATGTTAAGTACTAATTGTTCTAATTAGTCATTGTAATATATTTGTTATAGTCCGTATAATTTATATAGCACATGCACATCTAAATAAAGTGATTATTTTAAACCACCCACGACTGAGTGTATTATAAGAGAGACTATCGGAATGAAACTCATCCATATATACTGAACAGCACACCATTAAAAAATTAAAGGTAACTTGTATGATAATCACAAGTAAAACACAGTAAAATAAGCAAACAATGAGATAGCATAATACAATGCGTACCAGTAGCTGATAATCAGTATATGCATGGCAAAGATTGAAAATTTTTTACTTATATTAAACTCCACTGTTCTGATATGTTGACATGCATGAGTCAACATGCAACATGTATTCTTATGTGGATCTGCATGTGCATGCCTGTATTGATGATTTAATTATTTCCTGAAGCTCAGTTGAATTCTGTTTTAACACTTCACTGATTTTTCATTACCTTATTCTGTGTATAAGTCGGAAAATTTCTCATGATCAAAGGGAACGTTGCATGAGAGTTAAGTGGGATGAGAAATGAGTGAAGACTCCTATGGTATGTATCTAATTATTACTATGTGTGCATCTTGTGTGTCTTTTTTTCTTTCCAGGGCTTTCACTTCTGTTATTCTGTGTGACAATGTGATTACAGGATGGAGAGGGTACCGTTTAGGTTCCCTATCCGATGGACGTATCCATGATTGAAAATTACAGTAAAGATTATTCATAGTATTCACTAAGCTAAGTATATTAATTGTGGTTAGCATTTTGTACATTGTAGAAACTATTTTTAAAAATTCCCAGAGGTATAACAACGCGAGTTCAACGAAGGGTGAGTAATTTATACAGGGGGACACTTTGGGGGCACCCAGTATATATAAAACAATAGTCTTGATAATTCTACCTGATACAATTAAGAGTTCGTAGCTACACTACAATTATTTCTTCCCACACTCAGCCAACACCAAGTTACCGCTTTAGGCGTTTAAATAATTCGATCATGGAATCATAAGCTGTATATGGATGATGATGTAAGAAATAAAAAGAATATGGCAAGATAGTAGCCAATTAATGAAATCTATATGCACAGTTAATTTGAAATTACAAATCAGCGCCTTTCATTTGAGCATAATTTTAAATTTGGCAAAAAATATAAAGCTTACCTTTGTCATATTTTTGTTTAATATATATGTGATTTCAAATATTCATGCATGCATGTAGCCACCAGCATCGAAGGTGCCATCAGACTTCAAATGCATTGAATTCACGCGAACTTGATTTTTCACATAATTATAATACCAGTATTTCACAAGATTATCTTTGCTTTAAAGCAATTGCTCGCTAGATTTTGCCTTTACGATATATTTTCTTTCACGAAACCAAGAAGAAACCTTCCAGAAAGAGGCAGAAAGATGAAAGATCTTTTGGTATCTCCATGGCAACGATTGGCGATAACAACACGTGACCAACGACTGGCCTCCTATATATAGAACTCTCTTATGCCCAAAATGGGAGCTCTGTTTCACCGGCATGTAGTGCCAAAGACAAACTTCTAAATGGATTTACTGTCTGAAACTTTGCATGCACGAATAATTGCGAATTGAAGTATTCCTGAAAGTCAATCCAGTGAATAAAGTATGGGATGTGTGATATTGCTATCGATTTTCTAACAGGGGTGTAGAAACACTGTATAGCGTGTATCTGGTGCCAAAGACAAACTTCTAGATGGATCTATTGTCTGAAACTTTGCATGCAAGATTAATTTACGAATTGAAGTATTATTTTAAAATTTCAGTTCAATCGAGTTTATAGAAGTATTGCATGTGTGATAGTGCAATCGATTTTGTTATAGGGGTGTAGAAGCACTGTATTTTGACGGGCATGTAGTGCCAAAGACAAACTTCTAAATGGATTTACTGCCTGAAACTTTGCATAAATGATTAATTTGCGAATTCAAGTATTATTTTGAAATTTGAAGTCAATCGAGTTATTAGAAGTATGGGATGTGTAATAGTGCTATCGATTTTGTTATAGGGGTGTAGAAGCACTGTATTTTGACGCGCATGTAGTGCCAAAGACAAATTTCTAGATAGATTTGCTGTCTGAAACATTGCATGCATGATTATATTACGAATTCAAGTATTACTCTAAAATTTCAGGTCAATCGAGTGAATAGAAGTATGGGATGAGTAATATTGCTATCGCTTTTGTTACAGGGGTGTAGAAACACTGTCTTTTGACGGGCATTTGGTGCGAAGACAAATTTCTAGATGGATTTACTGTCTGAAACTTTGCATGCATGATTAATTTGCGAATTGAAGTATTATTCTAAAATTTCAGGTCAATCGAGTTAACAGAAGTATTGCATGTGTGATAGTGCCATCGATTTTGTTATAGGGGTGTAGAAGCACTGTATTTTGACGGCATGTAGTGCCAAAGACAAACTTCTAGATGGATTTACTGCCTGAAACTTTGCATGCATGATTAATTTGCGAATTCAAGTATTATTTTAAAATTTGAAGTCAATCGAGTTATTAGAAGTATGGGATGTGTAAAAGTGCTATCGATTTTGTTATATGGGTGTAGAAGCACTGTATTTTTACGGGCATGTAGTGCCAAAGACAAACTTCTAGATGGATTTACTGCCTGAAACTTTGCTTGCATGATTAATTTGCGAATTCAAGTATTATTTTACAATTTCAGTTTAATCGAGTTAATAAAAGTATGGGATGTGTGATAGTGCTATCGATTTTGTAACAAAGGTGTAGAAGCACTGTATTTTGACGGTCATCTAGTGCCAAAGACAAATTTCTAGATGGACTTTCTGCCTGAAACATTGCATGCATGATTTGCAAATTGGAGTATATTTTTAGAAACTTCAAGTCAATCGAGTTGATAAAAGTATCGGATGTGTGATATTGCTATCGATTTTGTTACAGGGGTGTAGAAACACGGTATTTTGACGGGCACGTAGTGCCAAAGACAAACTTCTAGATGGATTTACTGTCTGAAACTTTGCATGCATGATTAATTTTCGAGTTAAAGTATTATTATGAAATTTCAGGTCAATCAAGTTATTAGAAGTATGGAATGTGTGATAGTGCCATCGATTTTGTTTCAGGGGGGTAGAAAACCGTATTTTGACGGGCATGTAGTGCCAAAGACAAACTTCTAGATGGATCTATAGTCTGAAACTTTGGATGCATGATTAATCTACGAATTGCAGAATTATTCTGAAATTTCAGGTCAATCGGGTTAATGGAATTGCGGAATTTATGATAGTGCTATCGATTTTGTTACAAGGGTGTAGAAACACTGTATTTTGACGGGCATGTAGCGCCAAAGACAAACTTTGATGGATTTACTGTCTGAATTTTTGCATGTATGATTATTTTGCAAATTGGAGTATTTTACGGAAATTTCAGGTCAATCGAGTCAATAAAAGTATGGGATGTGTGTGTGATAGTGCCATCGATTTTGTTACAGGGGTGTAGAAAACCGCACTATTTTGTCTGTCATATAGTGCCAAAGACAAACTTCTATAGATGGATCTACAGTCTGAAAATTTGGACGCATGATTAACCTACGAATTTTGAAAAATATTTTGAAATTTCAGGCCAATCGAGTCAATAAAAGTATGGGATGTGTGAAAGTGGTATTGATTTTGTTACAGGGGTGTAGAAACACGGTATTTTGACAGGCATGTAGCGCCGATGACAAACTTCTAGATGGACTTATACTGCCGGAACCTTTCATGCATGATTATTTTGCAAATTCGAGTATTTTTTTAGAAATTTCAGGTCAATCGGGTTAATGGAAGTATGGAATTTATGATAGTGTTATCGATTTTGTTACAGGGG